CGACCATTGCCACGTAATTCGGAATGACAGAAATATTTAACTGTAAAAAACAGTTCTTTTAGAATTAATAATGACGTAATCTATATTGTATTCACAGAATGCGTCGCAAGAAACTGTACCTGTGAAAGACGCGATAGAAAGCACAATCAATCGATAAAGAACACAAAAGAAAGGTTTTTTGATCTTCACAAATTTTATCTAAAAAAATTAAGGAAAATAAATTTTCAGCAGCAACTTGTATTCTATAAATATCATCTGCGGTTTAAAGAGTACCGGGGAGAGATTAGCTAACAATTTAATCTGCAGAAATCACATACCAGAAATAAAGACAATGAGCGTGAAAAGAACAAGTAAAATGCCAAACTCCCTACGTCTACGGTTCGGCATAGAGCTGGCTATGGCATTCGTAGAAATAGTCTCAGGGTATTACAGTATCATAAGACCATTTGTGATCAAAGGGAGGGAGTGTAGCTCCTATAAATGAGACGAGTGCTTAATTTTGCGAGAGACGTGGAAGACAATAGCCGTATATAATATTCGCATCACTTAAATTTATCAGTAAGCCATGTCTCAGTAAAAAATAACTCAGGAAATTCTGGTACTTGGGCCCCCCTTTTCCTATGTTATAGTAATTTTTTGAAGAAAGAAAAAAAAAAAAAAAAAAAAAAAAAAAAAAAAAAAAAAAAAAAACGCGCCTTAAGAATCTGAACATCAAATTTAAAAAATATGTAACAAAAACCAACTGAAAATGAAGACATAATGAAATGTCTCTCATACTGTTTGTATTCAGATAGTATTCTCAAGAATGTACCGTTCATTAATCAACTTAAAGAAATAAGAAAATTATACGAAAAATTAATGAAAAATATTCATACAAATGTCTTATTCCATGAATTCTGCTTGAAACAATATCGTTCTCTTCGTTTTTGTTTACGAATCAGTAGATTTTGTAGTAATTTAAAGAATGAATGATGTGTTTTCTTGAATGTGTTTTTCATTATACAAGAAAAAACTCAGAACTTCTATCATGTCTCAATCTTTAGCGCTTTATCAAAACTCCTCATTCAACACCTTATTCAAGCAATGAGCAATAGTTGTTCTCGATCACACTAGAATAATATTGTATTTGTTGGAAATTCTAGTCTTGTCTTTCCTGATGCTTTACTGTTCCTATTAGAAATTGTGTTCAGAAATTAAAAAATCTTTAACAGCACACATTTTCACTTATTGTAGTTTAATACAAATTGGAGGTATACATTTGGTCAATTATTTATCGCCAAAAACAAGTCTTAAACACGATAAAATAGAAAATCTAAGAGAGTTACTGATTAGTACGACTATTTCGATTTTGATTTCTCCGCTAGTTTGCCCGTGATTTTTAGAGCAAATGCTGATAGTTATGCCGTGTTTGACTAAGGGCCGCCAAGTAGGTTTTCAACGCCAAACACCTAGCTTTTACTCTCAGTTGTGGATATAAATATAACAAATTTCACTTCCAAAAAGTCAACATGAAAATAGTTAAAAACATATTAACGTGCTCCTAGCACACTTTCAAAAATTATTAATAATTTATACAAGGGTTCATTCTTTCCTTTGAATGCTAATGGTAATTATGCTGCATTTGAAACATCACACCATTCACAACACACACATGTTCGAGTGGCGTTAGTGTCATTCGAGGGCAAATACGTACATGTTCGAGTGGCAATCTTTGAACCAATACGCTAGATATTCAATTAATTAGTGATTGTTTGTTTGTTTGTTTGGTGGTTGTTTTTCAAGTTTTTGTTTTCCGTGGAAGAGAAAATATAATTTCAATATATTTATAACTGAGATGTTACAAGTAATGTGTAGGTGTTTTAACATTTGAAATTGTCACCGAACAAAGATCACAAATGAATTTCCGTACTCTCAGTAAATTTTCTCTTAAACGTACAATACTGACAAAAACTGATAACTCATGAGCTGTTCTGAAAACAAATTTATACATTGTTTACATGTGAAGAAATGAAATAAAATGAAAATGGCACTCTTTGATTCCATTCGTAAACAAATTTAAAATGCATTTCATTCCAGGAAAAAATGTTTTTTCGAAAGACAAAACAACAGAAATTTAACATCTTTCTGAAACTAACGGTATGCCCCCCTCCATTTAATAATAAGCCTTTCCCCTACTACCGCCGTTCTGTTTTTTTAAAAAACGACAAAAAATGGATAAATTTTTGACACTGAATATATGTATAATTTTTTATCTAAGCGTAAAGCCACTCTCAAGCATTTCTGATCAGATTTGTTGCGTTCATTCCATACTAAATGTTTATTTCTGATTATACGAACGGATTATTGGTATCCGAATCGTGGGAACTTCATAGAAAAAATAAAATTCACTGTGCATAGTACTTCCAAGTACAAAAAACTTAAGGTCAGTCAAGTGGCCTACATGTTTCATCATCTGGGCCACTCGGCGTCGCGAAAGGGCGACTGCCGGTCGCAACCCAGTCTCGACTAGGCAATGCTATGGCCAATGGTGGTTTCGGATTCGCCCAATTCTTTCTTTCCCAATTTACTAACAACTTATTTCAACGGACAATGGATGAAACGGGTAAAAAGACAAGATTTTAGATTACTTTAAATGACCAATAAATCGGGTCGTAAATGACATACCTAGAAATTGTAACAAAAACGACATAATCAGTAAATCAATTGGCACGACGAAACCATAACAAATAACTAGGAAGGTTCTTTGAAGAGTTTACTAAATGAGAAATATTCCCCGGAAATTTCAAGCAACTTTACATTAAACATTTGATGTTGATGTGTCCAAACAAATGCAGAAGGGCGTGGCTATGGAGGTTTGAAAAAATAATTTTCCAAAACTGGATTGTTTTTAACGAACTCCCCGATGAAATCGCAAAGAATTTGAAAGTCACAGCCATCAAAACACATCTTGTGTTAATTCATTCTAAGACTGATGTAACAAAATGTTCCGAACAGTTGCCTTTCATTTGTTCTCCATGAAAATTCAGAATATATTCATACAATTGCCGTGCCCAGTAATCATTGAAAGAATATGGTGCATTGTAAAATTATTTATTCCACAGATTCGCATTGCTAGACAGCTGTACCAGCTGTAGGACTTAATCCAACACTTATTTTATCAGCAATAAATGATAGTTTCGAGAAGTCTCAACAGATTTCGAAAGATTTACTTCCAGAAAGTCGAATATGCATTCAGAATGTCTCCTAAACCCCTTAAGCCCATTTTCATTGACAAAAAAGGCAGAATAAGGAATTCTATAAGGACTACTAAATCAGTTTTTGTTCCTTCACAGTATTGCTGTAATTGTACGTACAGAAATTTAAGGGACAGTCAATAAAATAGGGTGAAGGGATTCAATAAAATAATAGGTGAGGAGTACGGGGGCGTCAGTGCTGGTTTTGTCGTTCGTTCGTTTCGAACAGGTTTCGTTCGGACAGTTCGTTTCGGACAGTAGAAATTATCTTAAAATTCGAGCTCATATATTGTTAAGAAAAACTACAGGCAATTATAATGAGTATGGGGAGTAATTATAACAAAATTAAATACTAGAAAATGTGAGAGTACAAACTATTCAATAGGTCGGAGACCGCCACAATGATGTCAAATGAAAGAGACATGAAAGTGACAGGACCGGCGGATTCGTGTTGATAACCAACACAAAAAAAAACAACTAATATGTAAGAAGTAATCAGCGGGCAACTTTACAAGTTAGTTGCTATGGTTCATCGAATTTGTCGCAATTTGTGTAGTACGGGTTGAAATTTATTATCTTTACAACAGGTTTTGGTGGAGGAATCAGAAAGGCCATTCTAAAGCAATATCGTTAAAAAAACAACTTTCTTGTTGAAACGTGGGAACAAATTTGAATTATTTGCTAGTTTTGTGTGGGGCCAAAACAATGGTAATTTTCCCGATTTACTAGTAATGAAAATCAACAATTGTTTACAATTTCACCTTATAACTAACTGGTGAATAACATCCTTTGGGTGAACTTCTGAGAATATTATTCAAATGATACCACATTAAAACCAATGTCAACGAAAAATAGGGAAATAATTACAAACTTCTAAATAATTAACAGTAAGCAATCTACTTCAAGTTCAAAGTTTGTGAATATTTGTGATTCTCAGCATTGTATATGTTCTGTACATTGATTTGCAGCGCCACAGTATTTTTAAATCGCTTGCTTATTTATTGGAAACTGAAAGAACATATACGCAATTGTACAAAATTTGAATAGTATTTCACTGCCATTATAAACATCAATTTATTCTATCGACACATTAAAATTGCATTCCCATAAAAATAAAAGTCACGTTTCATTTCACGCTTGGCGTGCAATGACAACGTGACAAAATCGTAGGGAAATATGAAAATGTCAAAGTTAAACGAAAGGGTTTAAAAATCCACCTGAATAGGTGGTTCCGATGAGCAAGTGGCTCGACACAACCTGTCCCAACGTCTACTCTTCCTTTCGGGCAAGCGTGACCTACTAACACGGCGAAATGGCGAGTTCCGATTTCCCTCTCAATCGCCTCTTATGTCATAACCACTAATCGCTTGGCAAGCGAAACAACTGGCGTGTCAGCATCCAGGGGAAGAAGAACGTATTGGGCAGTTCGTTAACAGCCTCCGCACGCCCATGTTCACATTATGCAAAAGTTCAATAGGAGGTATCTCACTACTTGTGGTGGTATGTGCATTTAATTGCTAAAAATATGTTACGATATGTATGTTCGTGTTTAAACACAATTTTGAAGGGTTCAACATCTATAATTGGCATCGTAAACTTCCAAAACAAGATGATGCTTCAAGCACCAGACAAAACTTCACGCCTCCAACATTATTATTTCTGTACTATGCAGATGGATTGTAAATACGCGCACTGAAGGCACATATTCACTCAACATCAGTCAAACAAAGTACATATGACTATGATGTTTTGCAGCAGCCAAATTACCTGCTGAACCAGACGAGTATGACACTTGTGGCTCGCCTGTACTGTGGTCCGTGGCCGTGGGTTGTGTAGTGGTAGCGGCAACAGAGCTGGGAACGCTCATAGGTCTCGCAGTGCCCTCCTCGTGCATGATTTATGAAAAAAATCGTCAATGTTGAATACCGTTCTTAAGCCTCAGAGCTTCAGGGAGCCCTGAACCCTTTTCACTATGCCAAGGTTTCACTAAAATCTTCTTCGTTACGCGGTATTTGAAAAAAACGAACAGAGGATAAATGTAGGTCTGTAGGACACTTCACTTACACTTTGCATTCAGACATGATCTCGAGTCAAGTGTATGGCTATATTCCATAACTGTTTGTATTTTATAATAAACGCCAGTCATTAAAAAAATGAATGAAGAAACACTTTATTAGCAATAATATATTTTTTCAAAACGATCTTTAACCTTTTAATGCAAAAAAGAATACTTTGCTATATAATTATGGATTCGATTTGCACCTAGTTACGATGTCTGGTGGGCGAAGACACCGAGTTAGTCTCTTAAATATATTATTTTAGAGTACCTGAATGTGCCGTTTCAATTTTACTAGTGTATTTAATTAACTAATGATACATTCCATTATTTAAACGAAATGAAAAATGCTTGTATTGAACTGAGATCTGAAATGACTAGCAATCCGTAGTTGTCGCGTACAAAGAGGCAGAGGCATCTGCCGCTATACGTAGGAACTAAGTTGTTGATTGTGCATGGCTTGTAACTTGGATTCCTGAGCCCTCATGGTCTGTTATTGTTTGTAATAATTGATGCAGTACCGAACCCATTCGTTGTAAATCTTGAATTGTACACATACCATCAATCCATGCACTAACCGACTGTCAATTGAATTGATATAAAAATAGTCCTTTTAATTTGAAAATTAATCGGTGCATTTTTTATTTGGTAAAACAAAAAAAAGCGATGAGTGTTGAAATAAAATAAACATATATATTAAGTCCTGACAGATAATAAAAAAATGTTTTTTTGGGTGCGTCATTATTCTTTAAATAAATGGACACAATCAGCTGTAACAATTGTTGTCTAAAGTAGTACTGAAATTGAATCGGACATTCAGGTGGTCCGATAACTAATGCAGATAGGCATGGATAGGTAGAGTTTCTTTGAAACGACATGGGAGTGTTAAAATGTTTATTAAATTTTCATTAAGTTAGGTTATGAAGTATATTTAATCATGCTAAATTAGATGGAAGAAGCGATGTATTTAATATCTTTATTAATTTCATGGTAATTGAAAACTGAAAATATGATACATTTCTATCCCAATATTACTTTTAGTACTTGAATAAATGGATGTGGTGACATCACGCAATTTCCGAAAAACTATTTTTTTTAAATAAAAAAATTCGAAATAAGAAAAAAAAATATATTTATCAGTTTTTCTTTATGAAAAATCAAGAACAGGAAATAAAATAATTTTTAATTTCTTTTTTTCCCAAACAGGCCTAAAAACTAATTTTCTACATTAGACCAAGAAAATACATTTAATGATTGAATGTTTCACAATTTATTTCAATGAAATCATTTCAAAATTATGACTGGGCTTTACCATTCAAAAATTAGTAATATTTTTTTTTCTATTTTAAACTTGTTTGAAAAATAAATAAAATAAAATGAAAATACAATATTATTTTCCTCCTATTCTGAGTCAATAATTATGATCCAATTTCAGCATTTAATGTGTTGAATTGAATTGAATTGAATTCATGTTGAATTCTGTAATTTTATAGATCGATAGATTGATTTATTTAGCCGTCTCGGCTATTTGAAACATACATTTACATTACATTGTTTACATCTGTAGGTATACTCTATTTAACTATTTACAAAATTAGTTTTCTAGTTTGATATATTTTACAATTTTTCTTTTAAATTCTTTAATTTGTTCACAATTTTTTGTTTCTAACTGTAATTTATTATATAATTCAAATCCTTTGTCAAATAATCTGTTTTTTTTTGCTGTACAGTTTTACTTTAATTAATTACTAAATATTGAGCTTGTCTTGTTTCCCTTGTGTTATCTTTCACTCTTTGGATTTTGTTTACCAAATCTCCTGTTATAATTAATTTTTTTGGGGGCTGATTTTTAATTTAAAAATATAAATTAGTGTCATGTAATGAATTCTCTCTTTATTGACATAAAATTCAGTGTCTACCACTCTAGCACTGGGGTGTATGTATTGCATTGAATTATTACTCTCATGGTGGTATTTTCTTGTATCTGAGGTTTTTTAATTTCAGTTTTTTTTTTTTTTTTTTTTTTTTTTTTTTTTTTTTTTTTTTTTTTTTTTTTTTTTTAGCTTTTGGGCCATTGTTGAACATTAATAAAAATGTTGTCTTGTGCAATTATGGATTTATACATCAAACATCTTGTATATCCATTTATATATTGCCCACTTGTCAAAAATATTAATATTTTTTCCAGTTTTCTTTACCATGTACTCTATATAGTCTTTAAAATTTAATTTACTCTTGATTACTTAATTTAGGAGGAAAACTGTTAATATTAAAAACATGAGATAGCTTTCATGAGATAGTTCACGTTTTTTAAATATTGCAAGTTAGCTAATTTAATATTTCTAATGATTTAATGACGAATTACAAAAAGTTCTTGCAAGTACCTATTATGTTAATTATTACACATTCTCAATATACATGCATAGTGTATTTGTAGCATTTCTCTAAAAGAAGGTAGTTGGTCTTAAAAAGGTATCTGCTTTAAAGATTTAATGAGCTCAAAGAACAGTCTTCTTTCTTAGAGGAAAGGAAAGGAAAATTATTCTTGAAGTTGAGTAACGAATAAAATGCTAAATTTGAGAAAATATAAATAATTTCAGATATGAGATAAATGGAAAAGGAAGAAAGGGAAATATTTATCATTTCGATCATCACATACATTAGTTTCTCAATGCATATATTTCAGAGAAATAAATTACTATTTGGATGCAGAAATTCATAGGATCAGTGTTGATTTTCTGCACATTTTAATTATCGAGACAATAGCTTTTCCTGCCTTTCATAGAAACTTGTACTTGACATTTTATTTAAATTTAAAGTAGATGAACATTTTTCCATTGAACAGAAAATGAAAGAAAATCATACAGGCTTAGGCCATTTGAGATGCGTCTTTGGTTTCATTAGACACCCAGGAACTTGGAAAAATATAGAAAAGTCTATATTGTTAATTTCCAAAGTACGCAGAAATTGAAAGGAAAGTAAGTAGCTACCAGCTATGTGAGTGGTAATTTTTTTTTTTTTATCCAGAAACTCAGGAAAAATTCAAAAGCAGTCCTAGTTTTGACTGACTGAAAAATGCAAATATTTTTATTGTGTTATTCAACCTATTCTTGTACTCATTTCTCATTCTCAAGTGTGTCACTCCATTCAGCACAGCTGATGTCATGCTTCAGCAAGGCTGCGAGGAAGAGGCTGAGTTCCAGTGAATCTGTTGCTGTTCTTTTATTAAGCTATGGAACAACTTCATTGATGTTATTGGATGTAAAGTACAGTAAAGTACTGTTGTTCTACACTGTTGAATTGCAATGTTTGTGAAGGCTGTTTTTGTAGAAATATGTAATTTATTGCAGTATTACGGAAGGGTATTTTATTTGTTGGTCTTGAGCAGTGTGTGTGCTACTTCTTGGAAAACCGTTTTGTGTGAATTTATTCAGCACAATCTTTACTGCAACAGGTCACTAGTATGAATTATAATAAAATGTACAATGAGCATTAAATCTGAATACCAGTTCCATTGTAATATGCCCCTTTATAGTAAACAAACTTGTAAAAGTTTTACTAGAAACATTGAGAGAATTGAATGTTAGTAGTACGGAAGTACACAATGTCAACTTTCTTGAGTTTATCAAAATGTTACTTGATTTCATTTTAGTTCAATGCACTGCACTGCTGTGTATTGATTTTCAATAATTAACGTTGTAACTCACTAAGATGAGTGAAAAATAATATAATATCATATTTTTGTTATTGTTTTTTTAAATGTTTGGGACAGAAGTAACGATATTCAAGACTTGCCAGATACTTAATTTTTTTATACATAATGGAAACATTTTCAGAATATGGTTTTTCTCTACTTGCCATCATTTCAATGCTTTGGGTACAATCAAATACGTTTCATACCTAAAGATTTGTATATAAAAGACTTTCCAGAGTCAAAAACAGAACAGCTTGTCTTCCGCTGCCTTGTATTTATTCTATAGTTTTTTTATTAATACTCAATAAATACTAATCCTTTTTTAGTGGTCGAGTACAACCGATTACCATTACAAATCACCATCAAAATGAGACTTTTCTGAAAAGTGAATCCAAACAATTTTTTAATAGTTGAATCACTTCCTTTCATTGAGTTCATGTAATGTAGAAATTGAGGTAACCTGGCAATGCTTTTAACTGATTAATTGTTTGATTTAACTATGAGAAAATTTTGTTTTTTAATATCCTCATCAATAAAACATTAGAAAAACATAAAATCAAAATATTGATACTTAATTCATACAGGAATCCCTCTGCCTTGTAACGTAAACCTGAACTGAAGTGTTCTTAACCATAAAAAAAGAGAGAGATCACAAATTAGCAATTGGGAAGGTTACAAAGTGTGTATGGTGCAGATGAACTTACAAATCAAAATTTTATATGTTTTGTAGGGTCTTTTCCGAAGTTTTCCTTAAAGTGTTTTAGTCCTTGGGGTATGATAAATATTGCAGAGTAAACAAAAAATTAACAAGAGATTGAAATATAGAATTTATCTTGAAATTGACTGTCAATTATACTATCATACAATAGTTTTTGTATGATCTTAAAATTCCAAGGTAAAATCTGACAATGTTGATTAAATCAAATTAATTTTATAATCAATCGACCTGGATTATATTATGGACAATGCTCTGAAATTTGTGGTGCTAACCTCAGATTTATAGCAATTGTAATTGAAAGAGTAAATTTAAAAAGCCCATAGAACTCTTCTATTTGAAATGGTAACTGAAATGAAGTAAAATTGTGTGGAAACATTCTGTAGCAGCTGCATTATGAAATAGCTGCAGTTTGCAGTTTGAAGGAGGAATAAACATTATATGTGATGTTTTGACAAAATAACTATAAAATGAGCTCGGCTCGTGGGATATATCTCCGACACAAAGCAATGATCACTTGCACTAATAAATATCAATGAAATTAATATTTTAATGTTCAGCA